TTCAAGGTCAAGCCCACGGCTCGCTGACAGTGACACGCTCCAGGGGGACCACGGCAGCGGACAGTCACATGCTTCAGCTTGCTGTTCTCCCCATTGGGTCGACCATGGCTCTGCAGGCGTGGAACGCGAGCCAGTGCCGATTGAACGCTGCCGTGCACAGTGCACATCCCTTGGATGAAGTCTGAGACGCAACAGCCAGCATATCCAGGCAGACACTGCATACCAGGGCCTGCCGAGACACGACAGCCGGCATATTCAGCCAAACACTAATCACCGCCGCCTGCTGCCTCCACCTCGCCACATCTTATCTCTCCTTGCACCCAACTCTGTTGTCTATGGAGACAAAGTCAACTCAGCCTCTCCTCTCCCGAACACCAATAGTAGTGATACCGGCGAGATGCGTCTGCACTCCGACGACCCGATGCTGCTGTGTCTGCATGAGCGCATTTCAACATGGCGGCAATCACCACGCTGCGATAGCAAGTTGCATCTCTGCCCGTCCGCCCATTGCACATGCTCTGGACTGCCTGTACCCCCAAGGAACTATCACCTCTTGCCTCCTTACATGACCCTGCCACGTGTCGTTGAGTGCTCAACGATGTCAGAGGTCAGCCTGCTGTCGAACACTGGGAACTTCGCTTCAGCAGAGGGGGCGTTCTGGGACGTCCCATCTCCGTGCCCATCCCTGGGCCACAGAGAGTTGTTCGTAGCCCAGCTCTGTGAGATTCTTTTTGCGCCTCAGCTTACATACGTCACGAAGTTCTTCTCAGATCCTTTGTATCTTTAGCACATACTGTTTTTTGAATCAAACCAGTGGTTTATCCCAATTGCCCTGTGAGAGAACCTGTGAACTCCAGGATAAGAAAATTGAATCAGAATCAGCAAATCTATAGCACAAACATTACTTCAAATAGTGGGATAGTATTAAAATGGCTAAGCGTTAGTTAATTAGCCTTTTAGTGCTTAAAAATATGATGAATAGCTGTCAGTTATAGAATTGTCTATACAATAGTATAAAGATAGCTAAGCATTAGAAGATTATTCATTTAGCAATTAAAGAATGTTTGAAAAGCTACAAAGAAGAAAATTAATGGCCAAAACATAATCTCTTAGTAAAATAGGCGACTAGTGACCAAGAGGTATCAAAAAGCTTGCATTTAGCTGAGCTAGCATACAAATAGCTGGTTAATGAAGAGAAAGCCAGCTAGCATTGAAGTAGTGTAGAAAAGATGACAACAGCAAGAAAGCCTGTAAAAAGGTAACCAAGTATGCTAATTACTAATAATTTACAAATCCTGTTTTTCCAGATGACCACGATCACGGTTCGAGAGACCCGAACTCGCCATGCAGCCACCGTCACGGTTAGAGAGACCCATACCCGTACCCGTAATCACGCAGCCGCAGTCACAGTTGGAGAGCCCTAAACTCGCGCCCTTGAAAAGAAAAATGAACTTCTCTGTCATCATAACGCCGGACTCGCGATGAATCGAGGAATATTGCCCGAATGTACTTATGCCCCGATATGCACAAAGTTAACCCATCTCTCCACGTCAACCTTCTTTCGCCGCATTTTCTTCGTAGCTGCATACAGCGCTCGCGCAGCCTTCTTGAATCCGACCTCCGATGCATGAAGCGTGTCTTGATCACCTCGCTGTTCGAACATCGCGCCATAGAAATACTCGGCGAACATCGGCCCGTCCTCATCCTGCACCTGCCACATCGTCCCAACCACGCTCCGGAACCCAGAGAACTGCATCGCCGCCGCCAGGTGGAGTGCCTCGTCCATCGCACTGTCCTGTGTCTGTTCTGCGGTGTGGCATGCCGACAAGACGGCTAGTTCGGCGTTGTGTAGGCCTGCTTTGACGATGTCGAGCAACGAGAGTCGTTCGTCCCCGGAGAGTATGAGCGCCGAGTTGAAAGGCTCACTCGCTTTGAGTGTCCCGTGGCAGGCGAAGTGCACCCATGGTCGCTCCGCAAGACCGGCGACCACCGCATCGCGGTTGCATCCATTTCCCATGGCGAGCGTCAGCTTGTCTCCCGGGAAGCGCGTGCGAAGAACGTCTATTTCGCCAGCCACCGCTTGCAGAGACTTGTCCAGGAGAGCGACACCGAGAATGCCTGCACGCTCTACCGGTCCACCACTACCAGTCGGCGCCTTCCGGGCTTCGATGAGCGCAGTGAGGGTCGGAGTGTAGGATGGAATGTACAGGTCCGTGAGGTACACCTTGGACTTGGACGATTTTGACTCCGACATCGTGAGTGGGCCTGCGGCGTGAATTGGTAGCGCCGATACCACGGATGTCGGGCACCACCAGATCCGAGACCCTTCCTCGACTCCGAGCTCCCTCAGCTTCTCCACGACGGGACCGACGAGAAGCTCGCCGAGGACTTTGAGCGTGAGCCGTAGGACTCGATCGTACTCCTTCTGTGCCGAACTCTTGAAGACTTGACGCGCCTGGAGCAACTTTTCAGATAGGTCGATGGCTTGCTTGTGAAAGGTGTCGTCCAGCTGAACACATCTGAGCTTGTCGCCGGGCGCAAGAATGATGGCATCCGACCGGAACAAGCTGTGATTGATGATGATGACCGGGCCTTCTGCGGAGACGGCTTTGAGTTTGTCGTAGGAGGGCAGGCTAAGAAAGTCCGGGAATTTGACGCGAATCTGCTCGATGACCTCGTTCAGTTCCGCCGTCAGGCGGTGTTTCGTCTCCAGCATGCGCCCATACGGATCATCGCCTTCTCCTATACCCGAGCGACTTATGAATGGATTCGCAGAAGTATTGAGTGCCTCCAGTGCACGACTCTTCTCCAGGAAGGCGTCTCGAAGATGGATCGAGTCTCCGTCGGCAGCCAGTTGGTCGAGGGGAGTGCGCAGACGGCGGACTTGAGACCAGAGCGTAGCTCTGCCTTGCTCTAGCATCTCGACGGCGAGCTTGATATCTCCTTGGCTGATTGCGTACGCTGCGCCATTCGAAGATAAAGATCCGGCTTCTCGGACCGCCTCGTGCTGCATTTCCAATGTCGGAAAATATGCAAAATTCTGCTCCAACAGCTCAAGGCCCGTGCGGTAAGCCTCTAATGTCGAAGGATGGTTTCGATCATGGGCCAGTGATGCCCAGTGCGTCGCGGTCTGAAGCCGACTTAGGCAGCCAGAACCGAATGCAGAAACCGCGCTGGTTACGGGCGTGAATATAAATTTACAGCCATGTTGGAAGAAAACGTACAGCTCTTTTTGATGCAGGATAACTTCAAGTGTATCCGCTTCGTTACCGGTGCTATCCGCCCTGATACCAAGAGCCGATGTGAGAATGCCCAGTGCTCTTCCACGCCCCGAGTGACCCAGCTCTGAAGGATAGGACGACAGCGCCCTTCGTGCTAGATCAATGCATTCGTCGAGGTCCTCCAAATTCCCAAGCTCCCTGTATCGATCGAGCAGAGGGACGCTCAGAAGTAAACCAGGGCTAAGACTAAGTGCTGACCCGTCTGGAGAAATGGATAGGAGTTCCCGATAGTAGCAAATAGCTTTGTCCAAGTCGCCAAGCTCTCCAGTTTGGTCGTATCGTTGCAAGTAGCACATGGCGGAGTCCTGGAGGAAGGAGGGCTGAGACGGACTGAGTTGTAGTGCTTCTTCCAAGTACCGCATGGACTCCTCCAGATCTTGAGGGTCCTTTGTCTCCTTAGAACGAGCGGAAAGAGACTGCACCAGAAAGTTCAGCACATCGATACGACCAGAAGACTCCGGAGTGTGCAGGGATAACGCTTCGCGAAGGAGTGAAATGGAGCTATTCAAGTCCTCCAATTGTCTTGTCTCGGAGTGCCGCCTGACCAAATGAAACGATAGTCCAGTCAAAATGCGTGGGCGGCGGGGATGTCCCTTCGGACACAGCGACAGACCATCATAACCATACCGGATGCAGTCCGTGAGATCGTTTAGCTGACCCGTCATATCGAAGCGACGCTGCAAGGCATTTGATAGAGCCGAAATCAAGTCCGGACGAAAGGAATCGATAGAGTCGGGCGCCGTCTGGAGCAACTCCCGCATGCAGTCGATTGAACGGTCCACCTCTTCCAAATTGCCACGGGCCCAAGATTGTTGCAAGAGAGAAGCTAGCAGAGGTTTCATGATCCTCGTGCGGCGGGGATGACCTGGAGGATAAAGCGAAAGCGCTTCATAGCCGTAGTCGACTTTCTTGCTGTAGTCGTCTCTCTCTAAGACATATGAAAAGCGCTCAGCGAGCGAGTCAGATAGGTGGTCGAGTATCTTCGCGCGTGCTGGTGCGCAAGGGCTGCATGCTGACAGAGCCTCCTTCCCGCGTGCTACGCTTTCCTCAATGTCATCGAGAGCCTTGTAAGATTTGAAGCGGAAAAGCAAGGCATCTGCTAGCCTACCGAGAGCTACAGGGCGAACGACGGCCCCGGATGGAAGCAGTTCGATGGCTTCACGGAGAGAGATGATGCCGTCGTCTACGTCCTCTTGTCTGCCTGCGAGGTAGAAGAGAGTGCATTTAGCGACGGCGAGGTTGATGAGTGAGCGCGGGCGGTCGGGATGACCCGGTGGACAGAGAGCGAGCGCTTGATCGCCGAGTTCAATGCATGTCTCCAGACCAGATTGTTCACGCTCTCTCGCACACATGCCAGTGAGCGCAGGAACGACGGTGTTGAGGAGCGTCAGACGAAGAGGTGCTGCACGCGGACAAAGCTGGATAGCGTCCCAAGACAGCGACGCCGATTGCGGCAGGTCCTCTGGCTCTCCGATGCGCTCGTGGCGGACTAGAAGCCCAGCAGCCACACTACCTAGGGCCCGAGGACGATCGGGATGACCTTCAGGGCAAAGGGAGTCCGCTTCATGCGCATATTCGATTGCTTCCTCCAGATCAGTAAGTTCTCCCCGTTCCTCATATCGAGAGAGCAGCGACCGCGAGAGGATATCCAGCGACGCAGCCCGCATGGGAGACTCCGGCGGGCAACATGAGACGGCTTCATAGGCGTATTCGATGCACTGGTCAAGTTCGGAAGGGAGGCCTGTTTGCTTGAAGCGACTGAGCATTGGCGCGGCTACGGCGGTGAGAAAGGCGGGCTGATCATGGCATGTGGGATCGAAAAGCGAGAGGGCGAGAGCACCAAACTCGATAGCGTCGGTCAAATCCTGAGGTTCGCCGGCGTAGCAGAAATGTGTATGTAATGCTTTTGCGAGCGACAGCACAGAATGGTAGCGCTCTGGGTGACCGGGAGGACGAAGGACAAGCGCCTTGCGGTGGAGGGACAAAGCTTCCTGCACATCCGTCGGATCGCCACTAAGCTCGAAACGACGAAGGAGCAACTCTGCAAGGGAATATAGCGGTATCTCATCGAGCTCGTCTGCTGCGGGCGAGAGGGGTATGGCTTTGCGTGCAGCTTTAACGGCGATCTCGATGCCTTGGGCATCGTGGGTACGGGCGAGGCGTGCGAACAAGACAGACGAGAGTGTAGTCGTGAGCGTCGCTCGGTTTACGTCAGTGGTGAGTTCATGGGAAAGGGATTCGTGCGCCTGTGCGTATTCTATTGCCGCCTCTAAGTCAATAGGTTCGCCTCGTTCTTCGTATCGTGAAAGCAGCGACCGCGCTAGGATATCCAGCGACGCAGCCCGCGCGGGCGACTCCGGCGGACAGCATGAGACGGCTTCTTGGGCATATTCGATGCACTGGTCGAGTTCGGAGGAGAGGCCTGTTTGCTTGAAGCTACTGAGCATCAATTCAGCTACGGTAGTAAGAAAGGCGGGCTGATCGTGGCATGTAGGATTAAAGAGTGAGAGGGCAAGATAACCGAACTCGATAGCGTCGAGCAAGTCCTGTATTTTGCCGGCGAGATAGAAATAGGTATGTAAGGCTTTTGCAAGCGACAGAACAGAATGATAGCGCTCTGGATGATCGGGAGGACGAAGGTCAAGCGCCTTGCGGTGGATGGACAAAGCCTCGCGCACATCTGTCGAATCGCCACTAAACTTGAAACGATAGAGGAGCAACTCAGCAAGGGAATATAACAGTGTATCATCGTGCTCGTCGGTTGCTGGCGAGAGGGAAATTGCTTCATGCGCGGCATTAATCGCGTTGTCAATGTCTTGGGGATTGTGAGTACCGGCGATGCATGTGGACAGGGTAGATGAGAGTGTAGTCAGGAGCGTCGCTCGGTCGACGCCAGTGGTGGGCTCATGTGAAGGGATTTCGTGCGCCGCAGTGATAGGCTCACCATCTTCGCCGAGAGGTGGGGCATCGCAGATGGGACTCTGTAAAGCTTCAGTACCAGGCCGGTATGGTAAGGGTCGGCTCACTGGTTGGAGGTTCTGGAGATCTCCTCGCTGCATAGTTACTTGCTGGACGCAACGACCTGGAGGCTCCGAGTCTTGTACTCTACGCAAGCTGTGCATATAGAACCGATCAGCGTTGGGATAGATAGCAGACGCTGCACGTTAACGCACTGAATAGATTCTTGGGCGTAGAGCAGACTCAAATTCGAGTTGCCAGATTAACGGCCCACGATCAAGGACGCAAGATGTGGTTAGAAAAGGGCGCGGGGGGGGCTTGCAGTTCAAATTTTGATTGTTAAAGGCGACGAAGAGGGCTTGCGTTAATCTCAATGCTATGGGGACAATGAGCAAGGACATTCCACTGGTCAAATAAATGTCGGAAATGCTGAATACATGGAGAGATGCGCCGAACGCGCCGAACGTGCCGAATGCATGAAAATGGGTAGAGGCAGGCTTACCTCGCTGGTAGAGTTGAGTTCCGAGTACGATGCGAGCGCGTAGACAGTGAGATGCTGAGCGCAGGCCGTGTAGAACTGTGTCATATATACAGCCACATAAGTCTTCCCCGCCAGCGGCAAATATCCCAAACCTTATGCCCGAGCTTGACGCGTACGGAACTCGATTGGGATATCTGGCTCGCACGTAGTTCCGTTAGTCTCTTCAAAACAGGCTTATAAAGGATGACGGTTATACTTACCATATAAGGTAGGTGTATACCCGAATTTATTCCGTCGGCTACGCCTTTTGCGGCCTTGCATTGAGGATTGAGGACCGAGAGGCATTGTGAACAATTTGACAGTGAAGGATAGCTGAGAAACAGCTTGCTCCAGTGCTGGAGTTGAGCAAGACTTTACCACGGGAGCGATGCGATGTGCGAGTAAACTGAGATTCAGTGAAGTCAGTATAAGGATGTGCGCCGAGTGCGAGCTAGCCTGTGAACAGCATGCGAGTCGAGAGCTGAAGTCGGGCACCGGAACGGCGAGAAACGCGGTAGTCCCGCTCATCGGAAAATATCGGACACACGCGAGAATGCGCCGGGGCATAAAGGTAAATAGAAGCAGATTTACTTCGTTGAACGAGGATGCTCGAGGCGGGTAGCAGGTAGGCGCAGGGGATGTCGGTGAGATGTTGGGCGCAAGATGATGTGCACAGCGTGGCCCTCCGCGCGTGTTGAGCTGAGCACATAGCTCGCGCAGTATTCTTGAATCTGACCTCCGATCCAAGGCCCATATGCGCGGCCTTATCGTGTCGCTCTTCAGACAACGTGTCGTAAAAAGCTTTAGCAAACGCTGCTCTATCCCCATCCTGCAGCTGCGACATTGTTTCGACGACGCTCCGGAAACCAGAGAACTGCATCACCGCCACTAGATGGAGCGCGTCGTCCATCGCGCTGTCTTGTGTCTGCTCGGCGGAATGGCATGCTGACAAGACGGCCAGTTCGGCGCTACGGAGGCTGGCCTTGACGATGTCGAGTAACGCGAGCCGTTCGACCCCAGAGAGGATGAGGGCCGAGTTGAAAGGCTCCCCAAGGCTCCTTCGCTTCCAGCGTCCCGTGACGAGTCACGTTACAGTAGTAGTAGGTTTATTATAGTAACCTTTCGAATCAGCTCCTACGACGAGCCTAGACTTTGAAAGGAGAAAGTAAGAGGGTCTTGTGGAGGTATCGCAACACGGCCACTGGCGCAAGGCGTCCGCGGCCCTATCAAATTGCTCGTCGGGTCACTTTCTGTGTTTAGCGCCCGATAAAGGATGTGGAAGAAAACGGTACGGAGGGGACAGGTTTGTGGCGAGACTTAAATGTTTTAAAATGCAACCACATGCAAGGGGATCGAGGTGATCGGCTGTGGGGCAGCGGGTGGTGGAAATTGCGCAGGTTGTCGCAGAGATCGTCGAAGCCGGACGCAGCGCAGGTTCTCTCGAACTTGAAATTGAGGCACCGGCTGAACTACGGAACGCATGAGGGTGGGAGCTGGACGAGTTTAAGCGTCGGAATGTATTCTATGGATAACTTCGATGAGTGAAATGTTCGTTATGCGTTCTCCATAAATGATACAAATCCAGTACAGTCATACAAATAAGCCATGCTAACTAGGAGGAACCGTCTCTGCTACAGAGCGCTGGGCGCCGAGGAACTAGGTCTGGGATTATAGGTACAAATCAGGCGAGTACACATCAGGCGGGTACACACCAGGCTTTGCCACCTTGCTCGCCATCATCAGATCGCCCGCACGGACCGCGCGCACGAGCTTGTCCGACCTCGCCTGCATGTCTCGAGCGTTCTTCCGGAACTGCACAATTTTCGAAGAGCCCTCCCAGAACTTGTTCGCCTTTGGCATCGCGAGGCGGACCCGGTGCATCACGTCGAGCAAGTCTTTGACCGTGTGTGCGCCGGAGAAGAACATCATCTCAAATAAGAATACGAGGGCTCCTAGACGTGCGAATATGAGGCTAAAAAATACAAGCCGCATGGCGGGGCACAAGAGACCCACCGAGATGCTCCTCGTCATCCTGCGGATAGTCCGTCGCAGCATGCGCGCTGTAATCGGCCGCTTGGCAGAAGTACTTCTTCACACTCTCGTAATCATTGTCCTTACGAGCTCCATCAGCGAGCTCATAGTAGTATATGGCAATGGTCCTGTTAGACTGTTAGCATGGCACGTACGAGCAAGGAAACGCAATACATACATGTTCGCGAGCGCACGAGGGTAAACGTAGAATGCAAGCTTGCAGGACGGTGCGATATTCTCCGCCGGAGGAGCTGCAGAGACAAGTTCGTGGAGGATCCCTTTCGCCTCTTCGTACACATGCTGTAGCAGATACTTCGTCTTGTCCTCGTAATACATCTAAGAGGCCTATTAGCCGAACGACTACATCAAGCCATGATAGAATAGTTACGTCGACATAGCACTCCATCCTGAGGCACTTGAGCTTGCGCAAGAATGTCTCTTGGAAAATGCCCCTGTGCTCAGTATTGGGAACATCCTGACGAGTCCGGTAGCCCCACTCCAGGGCTTCAATAGCCTGGTTGTACATATCGAGTACCGATGCCGTCTTCGAGCCGTCAGCTGAGCCCCGCATGGTCAGGCATGCGCGGAAGATCCACGAGCTAACAATAAACTCATCAGGTAAGGTACAACGCGTAACGAGGCTATTATGGACTTACTGGAGCGTGGTAGCGAGAGCTGGCTAGACGGCGTCCCAGCCTTCGGTTTCTCCCATCCTTGTCGCCGCCTTAATCACAGCTCGTGCACCAAGCTCCCGGAAGCCTCTGTAAGTTTGGAACTCCAGATCCACTGCGCAGGCGATCAGGAGAGTCACCCGCAGCGAAGAATATTTCACGTACCTTGCAAGAAGTATTTGCGGTCAAAATCAGGGATGTCGAAGAATAGTACTCGAGCATCAGTCATGACAGCGGTGGTTATACAATCGAGAGCCTTCGTGAAATTAATTAGATTGATCGACCGAGCTTGGATCCAGCTCACCCCTAAGAGGCCATGGATTTGACCTTTCTCTCCGCCAACGCTATCATGTTCCCGCCGTACTTTATTCATCATGTCTAAGCCCTTTCGCAACTCCTGATGAATGACAGCGTTAGTATACATGGTATCAAGTGTACTGCAGCAACTTACGCAATAGGCATCTAGCAATAGCCACCCCTATCAATCACGCATTGATTCCTCACACAATCGGGAGAGCAGCGACAATGTACTCACGCAAGTATACAATTTTGTCCCTGGACCTTCTCGCGAATCTCGTTGCGCATGTTATACGCTCTCATCCACGGCTGTTCCCCAGACTCCTCAATAGAGCAAGTCTTGCAAACAAGCTTCTTCTTCGAGTCCAACTTCGACATGGTCAATTGCAGTCCTTCTTGACATTGTCGCTTCAGGCTTGCTTCTACGTCTGAGAGATTCTCCGCAGGCAGCGCGCGCAGCGCTTGCTCGTAAGCGTCCCGGCTCGCCTCGAGATTTCCAACATTCTGAAAGAAGCGCTGTCGGCATGCGGCCCTTACGCACCAGCTCGTGCGAAGATACTGGACCGCCTGTCCGACTCGCTCTTTGCGCGCTTCCTGCATGCCGTAGTAGACGGAGAGGACCTCAACAAGAGCATCGACTACGGCTACGAAGCACTTCCGCTCTGCCCTCCAGGTAACCCCCGCCGCATACGTATCCTAAACTTTCTATGGAGTGCTCTCCTGCGAAAATACCGCACCGACGGCACTTCAGAAAACTTGGACCGTTCAATCATCTACATGCGGGAATTGCTCCAGAGGGAACCCGACTCTGTCGATTCCTCCATTCGCTCGGACGTGATATATACTCTGCCAACTGTCTTACTGGCTCGCTTCCGGTCGACAGGTCAGCCGGACGATCTCACAAACAGTGTCCGGTACGGTTATGAAGCACTGTCACTGTGTCCGAGAGGGCATCCCCTCCGCCCATACATTCTGCATGCGCTGGCGTTCTGTTTGAGCGCGCGGTACGATGAGACAAATCAGCTGGAGGACTTGAATAGCTCCATTTCGTTCCTTCGCGAGGCGTTACCCTTGCACACCCCCGGGTCTTCTGGCTGTATCCATGTGATCAGCTGTCTGGTGAAGCACCTTTTCGGACGTTTTGGAGCAACGAAGGATCCCCAAGACCGAGAGGAGTGCATACGGTACATAGAGGAAGCACGACAGTTTTCACCGTCCGAAGACCCCTTCTACCCCACTATCTCCAGCACTGCCTCGGCCTACCTGCAAGGATACGATCAGACTGGAATGCACCAGGACTGGAACAAATCTGTTGACCATTACCGGGAAGTCTTCTCCGACGTATCCGTTCGTCCAGACCAGTTTGCTCCCTTTCACCCTGGTTCACTCCTGTGCCGGAGTCTGTTTGACCGATGGATAGCGCGTGGGAAACTCGAGGATCTCGACGAGTGCATTAATTTGGCACAAAGAACGCTGTCGTTCTACCCTCCAGAACTGGATCACGTGGGACGTAAGGTTTCATTGCGCACTCTCATTGCGGCTCTTAGTATCAGGGGTGCCATCACTGGTGACAAAGCGAGTTTTTCTGACCTCATTCTGCATGCCAAAGAGTCGTACGTCGTCTCTCAACATGTCTGCGAACTTAAATTTACATGCATACCTAGCGTACCTTCTGAATCATGTTTTAGCTGTCGAGAGCGGCTTACGATGGCGATGGTATGGGCAGGAATGGCCCATATCGAAAACCACCCTTCTACGCTCGAGGCCTACCGCATGGGTCTTGAGCTATCGGAGCGGAATCTCGCATATTTCCCGACTTTGGAAATGCAGCACGAAGCGGTTCGAGGGCACACATCCTTCATGTTGTCTTCAAATGGCGCAGCGTACGCAATCAGCCAGGGAGATCTCAAGCTCGCCGCCGAGATGCTGGAGCAAGGCAGAGCATTGCTCTGGTCCCAAGTCCGTCGTCTGCGCACTCCCCTCGACCAACTGGCTGCCGACGAAGACTTGACCCATCTTCGGGACGCTTTCGTGGAGAAGAGTCGCGCACTTGATGCGCTCAATACTTCTGCGAATCCATTCATAGGTGGCCCGGCAATAGGAGGAGGCGACAGTCCGTATGGGCGCATGCTGGAGATGAAACAGCGTCTGACAGCTGAACTGAACGAGGTCATCGAGCATATTCGCGTCAAGCTTCCGGACTTTCTCCGCCTGCCATCCTACGACAAACTCAAGGCGGTCTCCGCAGAAGGCCCGGTCATCATCGTCAACCACAGCTCGTTTCGGTCGGATGCTCTCATTCTCGGCCCTGGCGACAATCTTAGCTGTGTTGAGCTGTCCGACACCTTTTACTTGCGCGCCATCGAATTGACCTACAAGTTACTCAAGGCGCGTCAGGTTTTACAGCACTCGGGACAGAAGGAGTACGATCGAGTCTTACGTCTCGTGCTCAAAGACCTTGGCGATATTCTCGTCGGTCCCGTCGTGGAGAAGTTGAGGGAGCTCGGAGTCGAGGAAGGGTCTCGGATCTGGTGGTGCCCGACGGCCGTGGTGTCGGCGCTGCCGCTGCACGCCGCAGGCCCACTTACGATGCCGGAGTCAAAATCGTCCAAATCCAAGGTGTACCTCCCGGATCTGTACATCCCATCCTACACTCCGACCCTCGCTGCGCTTATCGATGCCCGGACGGCGTCGGCCGGTAACGGTGGACCAGTAGAGCGTGCAGGCATTCTTGGTGTCGCCCTGCTCGACGAGTCGTTGCAAGCCGTGAATGATGAAGTGGACGTCCTTCGCACACGCTTCACTGAAGACAAGCTGACACTCGCCATCGGGAGTGAATGTAACCGCGACACGGTGGTCGCCGGTCTTGCGGAGCGACCATGGGTTCACTTCGCCTGCCACGGGACACTCAAAGCGAGGCAGCCTTTCAACTCGGCGCTCATCCTCTCTGGGGACGAACGGCTCACACTGCTGGACATTGTCAAAGCAGGCCTGCATAACGCCGAGCTAGCCGTCTTGTCGGCATGCCATACCGCGGAACATACGCTGGATAGTGCGATAGATGAGGTGCTCCACCTGGCGGCAGCGATGCAGTTCTCTGGGTTCCGAGGCGTGGTTGGAACGATGTGGCAGATGCGGGATGAGGATGGGCCGACATTCGCAGAATATTTCTACGACGCGTTATTCGAACAACGAGGTGACGAAGACGCATGCCATCCATCAGAGGTCGGGTTCAAGAAGGCTGCGCGAGCGCTGTGCGCAGCCACAAAGAAGATGCGGCAAAAGAGGGTTGACGTCGAGCAATGGGTCAATTTTGTGCATATCGGGGCTTAAGCATGTTAGGACGGTGTTCCCCATAGATCCCTTACCACTCTGGTGTTATCACAAGAGCCAGGCTTAACCCCCTCTCCTTGCTTTCGTATCTGATATGGCAGTGGTAGTGATAGTGATGTATGTATTTGCACGGACTAATAGAAACAAATCATGTCCTATGTATTCACTGGACGACCGCTCGACGCCCACCGAGCCCAAGTCCAAGCTGTGGCATACCCACTCCTGGAAGCTTCTCCCTCAGAGTCCCTCGAATGTAATATATCGCTCCGGCGTACCAGATGTCAATGATGTCTGCGGCAACCTGTGCGGTCTCTATGTTTCGCGTCGAATATCCCTGCGTAGTTTATTATGTGCCCATCACCAGGATCTCAAACTTGCACACCAGTCGTTGAAAGAGCTCATCTTCTCATCCACGGCCTCCGGGACACCCGTGAGTGCCTTCCATAGAGACTCTTGTCCTCTCGAACAGTCTGCACCAGAGCGTTGGTCAGGTCAGGAGCATTCATCTCGAGCACAAGGACAGGTCCAGAGCGGTGCTATGGTGGCGAAATGCCATAGAGAGCGTGACTTGAGCAATCGCGCTGTCTTCTGTGGCCGTGTCAATCGATGCTTCACCCGCAAAGGTGTTGTGCAGAAGGTGTTTGCGCTCGTCGAAGTAAGTTCTCGTTCGACCTGGATCACGGCCAGATCATGTTGACGAAGGCAAGCTATATGTCGAACGACCAGAGCTGGGCTTTGATAGCGGCGACATTGGCAAACTTGTTTCAAGAATGCGGCACTCCGCAGAAGTGACGGTTGCAGTCTCGAAGACAAATTCAACAAGGGCACGTCTTGGTGGGCAGCAAGTGTGCTCTGAGCGGTCTGCGCCTGGCCCACCTCGATCCTTGTCGAAGACGAGCGATCTCGTAAATCGAACACTCCTTTCGTGGCGACGCCCAGGCCACAGGGAATCCCGCGACTTGTGCCAACCAGTTCGCAACAAAGGTCGATTTGACAGTCGGCCGCGGATGCGAATTCTTTGTGGTCTCGGTCTGGCCTTCGACCATGCCGAATTCGTCCTACAGGCAATTTCAAGTTGGCTCGCCCCTCGCTTCTCGCGCACACAAGCGGTTCACATCAGCAGTCCATAGCCTGAGTACGGCGGCGGCGCTCACATTCTCCCGATGACTAGGCCGTGGAGTAGAATCGGTTCGAGCTTCACCAGGGAGACCACTTGCTTGGCGCAAAAGTTCTCGAGCCGGGAGAAAAGAGCATCATGCCCTATAACTATGACTTGCAGACGAGTGATGCAGCCGCAACCACGAAGAGGCTGAGAACGAGGCTGAAAACGAGGCTGAGAACGATGGGACGCTGCCTCAGTGTTGTCAGCATCATGTTATCGCTGGTGACTCGGTCCCAACTTACCATCAATGGCGATAAGAGGACAGCGATGAGGAACAACGCTAGGGCCTAACCATATCGAACTGAGTATGTTCAGAACGAGCGGGGAAAGTATAACTGAGAGCAGAGCGAGATGAGTTCTAGGCGCAAATGCAACCTGGAAAGTACGCACAAAAGTGACGTCATCCATGAACCGATAATCTGTCTCTGCAGATAGGGTGAGACCCTTGCCAGTGCTAGGCTGAGTGGGGCTAGCTAGAGCTTGCACCTGGTGCAAATGCGGAGAGACTTGCGCATGCAAATACACACTGCTTGTGAGCTGGCAGCCCTGGGTTGGCGACATCGAGTGTCTGACATCAACGATGGTTTGTGATTGATGCGAGACGACAGAGAATAGGAGAGAGAAGTGTGCGGGTTTCGTCCAGGTCTTGACGGGTCTCGACGGTGCCGGAACTTCGCTAGCAGAGGAGAGTAAAACGACGTGGTCGATGGAAGTAGTCGGTTCAGGGAAGGACTTGTCGAGAGTTGTTCTTGAAGTGGGCAATGTGGAACCTTGAAATGGCAATGTCGAATCAAGAGACGAAGCTGGCCTAGGTAGCGTCATCGATGAGCAAGTGGTAAAGCTAGATATCCCAACAAGAGCTGAAGCCAGAGGCCAAGCGTGCTCGTCTGTCCTCTGGCGTAATGGCGGCGACCTCAACGTAGGGGACGCGGAACCCGACATCTGTCAGCCGAAGTATAGCTTCCACAGCTGCAATGTACTCACCTCCGCTGTCACCAGCGACTCTGGCCGGAGTAGTCAAAAGCCTCGTGCCACCTACGATACCGCCCAGTAACTGCCCGGCCTCCATGTCTGAAGATCTTGGCACTGTGACGGACAACAGAAACAGTAAGGACCACGGCAGTGGCTCGTGTATGGGACAAGTTGTTGGCAAGAGATAACATGCGAGGGCGACGGGATGGCGACAGCGGCAGACCAGGGAGAAGACTGGGAGAAGAGACACCCCGGGAAGGGCCTAGACTGGCGCATCATTTGCAGGCGCATCAAAGGAAGAGCGCCCTTCGACATATTGCCCTCTCGCCTCTCCTATTCTTGCACCTTAACCATCACCATTCTCGTCTCCCGTGGCACTTGCTCTGATGGCAATTTCTCTGCCGCTATTGAGTGACCCGACGTCGACCGCGGCCGAGGTGTTCCTCGGCAAGAACTGCGATCTCGAGCGCAAGGTGTGTCCACCTTGCATTTCACAACTGAGCAAACGGCTGAACGGCGGACACGCAGCCAGGGTCGGCCCAACAATGCATTGAAGCTGAGAGGCGTTAATGTACGTGGGTGCGCTCTCGGACGTGCCACAGCAGCTTATGACCCACCGCATCCGGTACGCAACGGCCACCTGTACAGGTCCTCAAGACGTGCCCGATGCACTCAACAGCACCAAACAGGCGACGGCATGCCTCGACGTGATTGCCGCGGCAAACGGTGGGTGCCCCAACATATTATTTCACTGCGTTGAGAAGTTGCGCCACGGGTTCTAGGCAACGCGTACCAAGGAAGAGCTACTTGAGGAGATATACTGGGTACACGTATGGCTAGCCTCGGTGCGTGCGAGTCTGCATTTCTCTCACTTCTAAACACTCATACGCAGTTGTAGGTATGTGCAAGACGCGTCACGCATGACCATGTCAAGAGCAAGAGCCATGAGCTTGCCACTTTCCCAACGACGACGCTTCTTGCATCGGCTTCGTCTCTTGGTTCAATATCGCGATCTCGATGTTCGACTCTAAGAGTGACTTTGACGAGTCCTTCATTGAGCCGACCACATGATCTGGCACAGCCTTATGTTCCACTCTGCTCCTCGAAGTTCCCTGAGGTTGTCGAGAGCTGTCAAGACCCAGATGAGGCTCGCGCACCGCCCTCCCATTTTCCCTGCGTACTCGCGCCCATCAGCCTCTCCGCGTTTGCATGGATGTCATCAGTCCATTTGACAAAACTGCGCAGCACATCCGTGTACTTGGTTCCATCCCCTGGATTCCGACATCATAAGTGAGTGCCACTCGAGCAGTAAAAATGTTAGAGACCATGATGCTTGTCATCGTCATCCTCCTCGACACTTGCATCGCAAACTCATGGTTCCATACGATGCAGTAACACGAAAGTAATATCACTCATACCTGGCGGTTTTAATTAACGTGGGCTGGCATTCCATTTCCGCGATGTCGTGCGTCTTGCCTTAGAATGCGGTGAAAGGTGCGTGGTACGTTTCTGCCGGCGCAAGTACACAGGCCTGATGCTGACGATAGCCATTGTGTCAGGGTGCCCATCACTTGTCCCGACAGTATGCCAGCACGCTCGACGATACTGACATGTTCCGCTCTTATATCCTTGTATAGTTGCACAATAATAGCTCACTAACCCTGAATCATCACTCATCGGATGTGCAGCTTCATGAATCTGCCAGTCGACTGGCAGTCGTCACCACATTGATGTCAAATGCGAGCGCCGCGCTTTGCGGCATGCTAACGAGGGTCCTGTTGGTTCTTGGGTTCGATCGCGGCATGTCGCACGAACAGTTCTTCTGAATTGCCGTGGGACTGTGCCTCACATGCTGCGAGTGGACATGCCTCCCGTGCGTGTCTCAAGCTGGCGGAAGCGGCCCAACGTTGCTTGTAACATCCTATCTCTGGTTACCTCTCGCCACCTCTCTCGCTGGCGACTACTGCCACCGCCAAACTCTCGCAGGTTTGACCACTCCTCATTGCACCGAACATGTCGCAGCAAGATTCTTCGGTACGCCCTATATTCACCCCTAGCTTTTACCAGGCTGACGGGGATATGTGCGGCAGCCCACCGGGGGTGTACGCTATGTCGAGGTTTCGCCCCCAACAGGCTGGCAGACGATGGACAAGACTGTGCACGAATTTGAAGAAGACAAGGTACAGGACTGTAAAGAGGACATCGACACCCTCTTGGTATTCGTGAGTTTATCTATGCTTTGTCCTTTCATGTCCTCATATGCGTGACAGACCGGTCTGTACTCGGCCGTCCTATCAGCATTCGTCATCGAGTCCTATACCGACCTCCAGCCTGACCCGAACGCTCAGATGACCTTCCTACTCGAGCGCATCGCAAATCAGACCCAGAGCTACACCATAACGTCTGGGACCCTCAAATCTATCGCTCAACCGCCGCAACCTCCTCCCCAGTTCACCGCTCCGCTGTGGGCCGTCCGTGTGAACGCTCTATGGTTCGCGAGTCTCATTGTCAGCCTCGCGACAGCATCATTCAGCATGCTGGTCAAGCAGTGGCTGCGCGAGTACCTCGCATTCGAGTACACCTCTCCGCAAGAGCGCCTCCGTGCACGGCAGTACCGTAAGCCAGGACTTGGGAAATGGAAGGTCTTCGAGATCGCGGCTGTACTCCCCATGCTACTCCAGCTGTCTCTCGGCCTATTCTTCACCGGCCTTTGCTTCTTCACTACGAATGTCGATGAGCGCATGGGCCTCACCTGCATACCGCTTGTCTCCGGTTGGGCGTTTTTCTTTGTTGCCGCTACACTCGCACCGCTTGTCTCGCCGCGATGCCCATACAAGATGCCGCTGCTCAAGTCTTTGATGCGGACCGCAAGAACACGGGTCACGATGAAGATGCGTCGGTCATTGGCTTCCCTTTTTGTGGACCTGGCGAGCATAATTGGACGCTCGGACTCGGACCCGGTCACGAGTATTAACGACGAAGAGAACAAGGTGGTTACCGGCGACCAGGATGACAAGGAGATGCTGCTATCGATGGACGCCATTATGGCAGACGATAACCTGCTTCCGACGATGTGGGATGTGTTGAAGCAGCACTCTGATCCTGCAGACTTGCTTACTTTCGCCGTCGAGCTGATCGTGAGCCGCGCTGGTAGCAAGGCCGAGTACATCCGTTCTCCAAGGCCACGCTGCATCCCGGACCTCACGTCGTTGTCCCGGCGAGCATGGGTCACTTTCATGGAGATGCTGGTCGACTTGGCGGGTCGCCGTCAGCTTGAGCTGCTGCCCATCTCGAGTCCCGACTGGCTGCACAAGGCGATCTTACTCCTTCTCTCCACGTCTAATTACCCCCTCCCTAGCTCTGCAAAGGCATTTCTTCACGGCCATCTCGTCGCTGCATCTGGACCATCCGCAGGATCGAAAGCGTTCTCTCAATGGATAGCCCCGTGTTTCCGCGAGCAAGAATTAGACTTTCGTCCATTATTCGATCGCCTGCTTCTAGCTTGTGAGCAAGATGCCCAAGACGAAAGGGACATCTTGCTACCCATAGCTGCAATCCTGGCCAATGACAATCTCCTCCAGACGACACTCGATATGTTAAAGCAGCACACGTATGACCCCGCCCGGTCCCTCTCTTTCATCGCCCATCTCATTGCTAGTCGCCTTGGCGCTGATGCCAGCTACCTCCTACCGGTCAGGTTGCGCTCCATCCCGAACCTCACCTCACTGCCCCGTCAGGCGTGCGTCCTCTTCATGGAGACGCTTGCTAACTTGGTAAACTATCACGAGCCCGACGTGCCTTTGCTCGATTCAAGTCCCGACTGGCTGCACAAGACGACATTACTCCTTCTATCCAACTTTTCATACCCGCTTCCTCTCTCTGCCCTGTCATGCGTCCATATCCTTCTACCTAAAGCACCAGGGTTGGCTGCAACAAAGCCGATTGTGCGATGGATAGCTCAAGTCCCCGATGAGCAGGATTTCGACTTTCGTTCACTATTTTATCGGACACATGTACATGAAGCTGATGAGCGCAACCACCGAGACGATAAGGACGTCCTGTTATCTATGGCCGCCATCATGGCTGACGACACCCTGCTTCCGGCAATGTGGAATGCGCTAACGCAGCCCACACACGACCCTGTGCAATCCCTCTCCTTTATCACCCATCTCATCGTCGGCCATCTTGGTGCTGACGCCGAGTACCTCCTTCCCGTCAGGCTGCGCGCCATCCCGGATCTCACGTCGATATCACGCCGGACATGGGACACCCTGATGAAGATGCTCGTGGACTTGGCAGACTACCGCGAGTCCAGCGGCCCCCTGCTCATTTCGAGCCCCGACTGGCTGCACAAGACGACCTTGCTCCTTCTCTCTAACTCCCCCTATCCCCTCCCCAACTCTGCGGTTGTCTGTCTTCATGGCCTCCTTGCCTATGTAAAGGGATACCCTGCGGCGCACTCGATTGCGAAATGGATAGCCCCAGGCGTCGATGAGAAACCATTCGTCTTCCGCCCACTCTCTGATCGGCTACGTTCAGTCTTAGAGTCCAGCGGCCAAGATGGCAGATGTCTATACACGGTACTTTTCATGTACGCAGAATTTCTTCGCCCATACTGCTCAAGCTCTCTCAGGGCACAGCCTCAATCGCTGTATAGAATGTTATCCCTGGAACAGGACCTCTTCGAGCACCAGATGGCACGTCCAATATTAGATGACATCTGGAACCTTATTCACTCGGTGTTACTGTTTGATAGCGAGTCTGACAGTCCAGATACCTTCACAGGCCAACAGGAGTCTTCGCATATCTTCTGGGGATTGGCGGACCAGATGGGCAGGAAAGACGATGCCACTGCAACCATTTCTGCATTCTGGGAAAAGCAATCCTTCTCTCACTTCGCATTGTGTTACACATTTTTATCACTACATCGCTTTACACACGCTTCACGGACTTCCATGCTACAGCTATGCACGGATGCGTTTGCCGATAGCCACAGTATGTCCTGCGGTATTCATTCAAATGCTTCTATTCACTTGCTTTATCCAGATCAGGCAAAGATGATCAAGAATTCAACGAGGCTTGCACGAGACTATGTGGGCGGAAAGTTCGACGACACAGCAGACTTCGACCCAATAGACATGGTCCGCTTCTGCTACCTTCACATCCGGCTGTACGCAGAGCATATTGGAGGGCGTCCACCGACTGTTATGGCGTCGTCCCTGTCGGATCCCGATGCGATGTTTCCAGGACCAGCTGCATGGGCGAGCCTCTGGGATGCAACAAACGCTGCCTTATGCAAGTACTCCGCAGAGGAAAGGTGGCATGCTAAGTATGTGGAGTACCACTATCATCTCCCTTCACTTCGCACTCCGGATGAGCTGCTCGCCGACGATCAAAAGCTTGCCGAAGAGTGCCTCAACATCGTACAATCGTTCACGCGAGGTGGCGGGACTTCGAGCCCCGACACGTCCGCGCGCGAGCTGGCTCTCCTAGACGAACTCATCATTGCGCTCGGCTTCTTTATCATACCAGACGATGTCTTGAACTACCCAAGGCTCGCGAGGCTCCAGAAGCGGGAGCGGCTTGGATCGCGGCAGCCAGGAGTAGAGCTCACGGAACCCTCCGCCCCTGCGGATACGTCGCCGTCGGGAGATCTCACCGAGTCCCCGCCGCCCTCGCAATTGGCGACTCAATCAGCCCAGGACAGGCCTTCGCAGGAGAAACCGTCCTCAATGCAGTCCGATGGGAGGTCTCGTAGCATTAGCCGGGACGCGGAAGAGCCGCAGGTGGACGCAGGCAGTACGAGAGGGCGCGCACGCACAGAAGAAGGGCTGATAAATGAAGGTCAGCGCGCCGATCGCCGTGACGCATCTGTGAGGGGCGAAATGCACATGAATGAAGCCGGCGGTGATGCAACCGAAGACGATGAAAAAGAAGAAGACAGCGCGAGCGAAGACAACGCGGCAAGGGAAGAGACAGAAAAAGACGGTGCACAGGTTGAGAAAGGGGACGTTGACATCACAGATAGCTCCAGCCCGCGAGGCGGAGGCAGGATTAGAGGCAAGGTTCAAGGCGAGGTCCAGGGTTACAGCAGGAGTGGGAGTGAAGATGGGCCGCGAGGATGAGAGGGCCGCGAGGAGGGCCGCAAGTCTGTCGAGCACTGGATGCAGATTACAATCATGACCGAAGTTTTGGAATATTACAGTTATTTTGCACACGCATCGGATGTATTCGCGGCGTCGATGACAGTCCGCCTTTTCCCTCACCGCCACTAGTCTTATTCGGTCTTCCGCTCTAGCTCCAGTTACCTGAGAACACGAGCTCTACGACGCCCAAAAGCGGAGCGCTCGCACTGCGCGGCTCGTCACGGTCGTCACTGAATTAGTGTTAGGCAGGTTGGAGAGCATGTCTTCGACTCTGCATATGTAAGTACAACTCCAAAGCCGCACAGAGTGTGGAGGTAATATGCAGCGCTGGACGTGCATGCCTTCTGGATGTTGCCTGAGCTGACCGAACACGAATGTCGCGTTCCCACTAGTGCCGCCATGGAAGGCATGACATGGCCACATCAAGGACAAGAACCTCGTTTGCCCCGCTCGTGTCGCTCAGCCTGAGTTTAATCTCGTGCATGACATCTCCGGTGGGCACTGCTTGTATGCGCCGGGCAGGCTACGTCCGCAATCTCGACGTGACTCCCTTCCTGCCAAATACACACACAAGATTCGCGCGCATTCCTACGAATATCAGGCGGACGTTCGATGCACTGATGCCTAGACTGTTGCGTAGTACTGTGAGCCGGCTCTCGCTGTGCATCGATGACCTTTCTAATCAAGTCATCACAACACTAGATGCACATTTCGTCCACAGTCGCCCCTCACTGAGGTACCGTTTAGTGCGTAATAGATTCGCTTAACTGCTTTTTGGAATTCTTTCACCCTCGCCTAGCGTCGGACGAATCCTGTGCGACCGTGCTTTTCATGACGTGACATCGCCGGAAATGTACGGGTAGCGTCGTGCAATGCAACACGTGTGATCCTGACATTTAGACACCCCAATCGAATCGTCGACGGCGCTCACGCCTCCGTTAGGCTCGGACGCGAGATTTAATATTCGGGATGTGCAGTGCGGTCGTCTATTGCTAGTGAGAAAGACTCGTGGAGCTGTATGTGGCAGTTTTACACGGGTAAAGCCTGGCTGTGTCTAGCCTGCGCTCAACATCTCACCGTCCGGCCCCAACTACCCACCCGCATCGTGCTCGAGACTCAACACTATCAGTGAAGTAATACAACCCCTCTTACTCGCTCCTGATAATCACAACTTGAACTGCAGGCCCTTTCCACGTCCCTTTGCGACTACATCCCGCGTCCTTGACCGTGTAACGTTGATCTGACGACTCGGGTTTGATTCCGCTCTGTGCATAAAATCTATTCAGTGCGTCAACGGGCACCATCTGGTATCTATCCAAAAGCTGACGGGTTCTATATGCATAATTGGCGCAGAGTACGGACCTCAGGAGATCTGGGCTGTTAGTGCCTGGTGCCGTAGTTGCTCGTGCGCTCAACTCCGACTCCACGCATTGACCAGGTACGAGTAACTTTCTTCAGCAAGTAATTATGCAGCGAGATCTCCAGAACCTACAAACAGTGAGCAGATTCTTGCTACGTTGGCCTAGTGCTGAAGCTTCACAGAGTTCCATCTCCGACGTCCCACCCCCCGGCGAGGTTGGCAAGCCTATCACCGTGGCACGCGCAACATTTTCCCATGAACCCGCCACTGGCGTAGGCCGAGTGATGCTTATGGACACACTCTCATCTGTCCTCTCTGCATGCCTCATCGGTACTCGCAATCACCAAGACATCGAGAACGCGATTGACGCCGCACATGAAGCAATTTCCCTCGCGATTTCCCTTTCACCTGTAACAGACGACGTCGATGATACGCTATTGTATCCCCTTGCCGAGCTGCTCCTCTATCGATTCAAGATTAGTGGCGATCCGGCAGATGTGTGGGAGGCTTTGTCCCTCCACCGCAAGGCGCTTGTCCTTCGTCCTCCCGGTCATCCGGAGCACTACCACTCTCTGCTATCGCTCACAAAAGCGTCACATACCCTTTTCTATCGCACCGGCGAGTAACAGGATTTGACCGACGCCATCGAGTTTGGTTCTCTCGTTCTCTCAGTTTATGATCCTACGTGCCACGATCAGCCCACCTTTCTCACCACCGTAGCTGAATTGATGTTCGGTAGCTTCAAGCAAACGAGGCTCTTCTCTGAACTGGACCAGTGCATTGAATATGCCCGAGAAGCTGTCTCATGCTGTCCGCAAGAGTCGCCCGCTTGGGCCGCGTCGTTGGACATCCTCTCGCAGTCGCTGATTTCACGATATGAGGAACTGGGCGATCTGACAAACGTGCAAGAGTTTGTGTCCCTCCACCGCAAAGCGCTTCTCCCTCGTCCTCACGGTCATCCGGACCGCTACCATTCTCTGCTGTCGCTCGCAAAAGCATCGCATACCCATTTCTGTCACACTGGCGAATCCCAGGAATTGACCGACGCCATCGAGTTCGGATGTCTCGCCCTCTCACTCTTCGATTCCGCGTCCCACGACCAGCCCACATTTTTTACCACCGTAGCTGCATTGATGCTCAGCAGCTTCAAGCAAACATATCTTTCCCCCGAACTGGACCAGTGTATTGAATATGCTCAAGAAGCCGTCTTGTGTTGTCCGCCGGAGTCGCCCGCGCGGGCCGCGTCGCTAGATATTCTCTCGCGGTCGCTGCTCTCTCGGTACGAGGAACAGGGCGAACCTGCTGATCTAGAGGTAGCCATCGAATACGCACAGGAAGCCACTTTTCTTTGCCACACGGGGCGTCTTGATCGTTCTCGAACACGGGTGACTCTGGCTGCTGGGCTTCTGGCTCGTTTCGAGCGCGCTAGAAAGCCCGAAGACCTGGTTCAGTCGGTATTCCTGTGCGGGGATATTTACGAACTCTGTCTCTCCCCAGCACCCCTTCTTCTGGCGCTCTACAGCACCTTCGTTCCCGCATCCTTCACCTTGTTCAGATATCTGGAAGAACAACTCATCCTAGAGGCGAGCATTTCAATGGGCAGTGAAGCGCTTGCCCTCTGTCCGCCAGGTCATCCCAACCGCCCGCACTCCCTGATCAATCTCGCCTATGCGAAATACATTCGCTTTATCTATGCCAAGCCACAAGGAAGCTCTAAGTCAGACGACGCCGTTGTCTCTCCTCGTGAAACCGTCGAATCACTGCCCCCCGAAACTGCCGTTCGCGCTGAAGAGCCGCGCACTGAGTTCTTTGGCAGACGAGAAGATATAGACGACGTTATCGCCTCTCTTCACGAAGCCGTTGAACTCCTGCCATCCGGGGTCACCGTCCGTGCCGTAGCTCTCAGCAGGCTAGCGGATGCCTTGTTCATCCGCTTTGGTATGCTACCCGAAGACTCTCTCGATGACCTTGAGGAATGCGTGGCACGCCACAAGGAAGCGCTGTCTGCTTACGGCCCTTGTGCGCCAGAATGTGCGGAGATACTCGATAGGCTGTCCCTCTCACTCAATGTGCGTTTCATGGTCGTCGCACGTGACGAGCAGGAGGACTTGAGCAAGGCCATAGACTACGGTGAAGAAGCGCTTGCGCTTTGTCGTCCAGGTCGTCCCCGCCGTGGACATATCTCGAGCCTTCTGTCAGATGTACTCTATCGACGATTCTGTACCAATAGCAATATGGAAGACTTAGATCGTTCAATCGCCTACTCACGGGAAACGCTCCAGATGGCACCCGACTTGGTCGATTCAATCACTCTTTCGAACTCAAAATCAGCTCTGGCACGCACCTTGATGTTTCGCTTTAGTCTGACCGGTCAGCTAGACGATATCAGTGATTCCATCCGGTATTCCTATGATACTCTGTCACTGTATCCGAGAGGCCATTCCCGCCGCCCAGGCGCTTTGGTTGACCTATCGTTCCGTTTTGCCACTCGGTTCGTTGAGACGAAACAGCTTGGGGACGTGGATAGCGGCATCTCATGTCTTCGCGAGGCATTGTCTTTGCTGGCTCCCGAATCTCCCGAACGTCTCGAAGTGTTGGAACATCTGAAGGCACATTTATATGTCCGTTACGGAGAGACGAAGGATCCTCAAGAAATGGAGGAGTGCGCACGGTACGCGGAGGAGGCACATGCACTACGCCTTTATTCGCCCACCAGCGTTACCGTCGAATCCACTGTGGGCTTCCGACTCCAACATGAGCTGACCGGCGAGTCTGAATGGTTGGACAAAGCTGTTGACCACTTCCGGGGGGCCATATCCGATTGGTCTAGTATGGGCCAGCCATATCTTCACCCTGGTATATCGCTGTGCTACGCTGTGTTCAACCGATATGAAGCGTTTGGGAGATTGGAGGACCTCGACGAGTGCATTGATCTGGCACGGAGGGTGCTGTCGTCCTATCCTCCAGGAATGAATCACCTGGGACGTCGAATACCATTGCTGGCGCTATATAAGGCTCTTCTTCGAAGATATCTCGACACTGGCAGCGAGACAGATATCTCCGACGCCATATTTTATGCTAGAGAGAGGTATGTTGTCTTTCAGCATAGCTATAAACTCATATTTACACCCGTAACCAGCGCTGTTTCTCAATCAGGTTCTGGTCGTCTAGAGCGGCTTGAGGTCGCGATAGAATGGACGACAATGGCCCATTTAGAAAACCACCCTTCGACACTAGAGGCCTACCGTACAGGCCTTGAGCTGTTGGAGCAGTATCTCACATGCATTCCGACGTTGGAATTGCAGCACGAGGCAGTTCGAGAAGCCAAATCTCTATCTTCAAATGCTGCAGCGTACGCAATCGGCCAGGGAGATCTTAAGCTCGCCGTCGAGATGCTAGAGCAAGGCAGAGCATTGCTCTGGTCCCAAGTCCGTCGTCTGCGCACTCCCCTCGACCAACTGGCCGCCGACGAAGGTTCGGTCCATCTTCGGGACGCTTTCCTGGAGAAGAGTCGCGCATTAGAGACGCTCAATACTTCTGCGAGTCCATTTGTAGGTGGTTCAGCCATAGAGGAAAGCAGAGATCCATATAGGCGTATGCTGGAGACGAAAGAACGTCTGACGGCTGAACTGAACGGGGTCATCGAGCAAATTCGCATCAAGCTCCCTGACTTTCTGAAGCTGCCCTCTTACGACAAACTCAAGGCGGTGTCAGCAGAAGGTCCGGTCATCATCGTCAACCGCAGCATATTTCGGTCAGACGCCATCATTCTTGGCCCGGGCGACAACATCAGCAATATCCAGCTGTCCGACACCTTCTACAAGCAATCCATCGAACTATCCAACAAGTTGCTCCAAGCGCGTCAGATTTTAAAGTACTCGGCACAGAAGGAGTACGATCGAGTCTTGCGGCTCACTCTCAAAACTCTCGGCAATCTTCTCGTCGATCCCGTCGTGGGGATGCTCAAGGAGCTCGGAGTCGAGGAAGGGTCTCGGATATGGTGGTGCCCGACGTCTGTGGTGTCGGCTCTCCCGCTCCACGCTGCAGGTCCGCTCACGATGCCAGGGCCGAGATCCTCCAAGACGAAGGTGTACCTCCCGGACCTGTATATCCCATCCTACACTCCAACGCTCACTGCGCTTATCGAAGCCCGGACGGCGCCTGCTGGTGGATACCGACCGGTAGAGCACGCAGGCATTCTTGGGGTCGCGCTGCTCGACGAGTCGCTACAAGCGGTGGCTGACGAAGTGGAGGTCCTTCGCACACGCTTCACGGAAGACAAGCTAACACTTGCCATCGGAAGTGGGTGCAACCGTGATGCGGTGGTCGCCGGTCTTGCAGAACGACCATGGGTGCACTTTGCCTGCCACGGGACACTCAAAGCGAGTGAGCCTTTCGACTCGGCGCTCATCCTCTCGGGGGACGAACGGCTCACGCTGCTGGACATTGTTAAAGTGGGCCTGCACAACGCCGAGCTAGCCGTCTTGTCGGCATGTCACACCGCGGAACAAACGCAGGGCAGTGCGATGGACGAGGCACTTCACCTGGCAGCGGCGATGCAGTTCTCGGGCTTCCGGAGCGTAGTGGGGACGGTGTGGCAGATGCGCGATGAAGATGGGCCGACGCTCGCCGAATATTTTTATCGCGCATTGTTCGAAGAGCGAGGCGACGAAGACATACCTCATGCATCAGAGGTTGGGTTCAAGAAGGCGGCGAGAGCATTGTGCTCAGCTACGAAGGAGATGCGGCGAAGAAAGGTTAGTTTGGAGAGATGGGTCAATTTCGTGCATATCGGAGCTTGAGCGTACAGTATTCTGAAGTAGTTCCCAACGAGTTGCTTGCCGCTCTTGTAATATGCTTGTGTATCAAATGTGATAGTGACGAATATACTTGGATGGACTGACAGAAACAAAGCGTGTCCTGTCTTTATATTGAGGCACCGCCCGCCATCCGCCAAGCCCAAGCTGTAGCGTACTTTACTACCTACTCCTCGAAGCGCCTCCCTTGAATACGATCCACGCACTCGCGCACTATCTTGTCCCGTGAACCCATACAGCATCCTAGGCTTGTAGTCGTTCCTCAGGGAGAAATAAATTTGCTACATAGTATTATGAAGCCAGTGTAGAGGTCGAAGTGGCAGTCGGGGAATGGTCCCCCCTTCTATAGCAAGCACTGGACACGTTCCTGCTCCGGAAGCATTCTTGTAGTAACCACTAGTCTCAGGAGCACTCTCGTAGCGACTCTGAGGTGTAATTGTAGTTCACCCCATCTAAGCAATATTGCACCTGGTATTGTAGCATTGATCACCTCCCAATATACAAGTATCGTCAGAGCATTAATATTGAATAGTGTATTGGCTAAGTTGCAGGGCTGTATTTACACGGAACGCCTTGTACTATCACTTGAATGAGCATGAAGCAAACATTACATCAGTATGTACTATCACCTTGGGCACACAGTTGGGTGTGGCACGCCGAGGTGGCGCACGAGGACGGCGTCGGGCTGCGGTACACCGGGGAAGAGCGCCGCAGGCAACGTAAAGTCGGTGTCGGCGGCGGACACGTCCATGTGGTTGAAGAGCGCGAGTGCACGCACATGTGCCATCGCCTGGTCGTAGATAGTGTAGCCCGCGTGCACAGCGCTGTAGTCGCTCTGCGAGCCGTTGCTGCCGAGGTCGTCGACGCGGCTCCCATTCGCGTTCACGAGCGCCCCTGCCACGGCGAGCACCACATAGAAGTTCGTGTTCGTGTTCATGCCCCCCACACCTGCACCGCCCACAACACCCGGCGGCGGCTCGAGCAGGTTGTACGACATCAAGAATATTAAGCGTGTATTTGGCAAACTGGCGTCAAGATTTATGTGGTACGTGAGTTGGCTAGATTCTCTCTAGGCACGGAGTAAGTTGTTTATTACCCGGTAGTCTTTCCCGTGGTTGAACGTTGAATTCACGCCCTAGTACATACTGTACCTGAAACTAGTCTCTCGCTTTAGTTTCTGTCAGACGAGTAGAGTCTCTCCGACACGCAGACGAACGCTATGAGATCCAGAAGGCCGTTAGCGTTTCTTTGGACGACACGGCATGAGAAGTAGTAGTAAGTGCTGGCCCGACAATGGGCGCATCAGCACCACAAAAAGCTAATAACAGGCACATCCTCACGACCGCAAACAGGAGGAGTCTTGCTGCATATAGTCCTGGTATGATGGCAACCCGTAAAGTGAACTTAGTGAAGCAATACTTGCAGCGTTCTAAGATACGTGCACTTGTACGAAATGGAAGCAGTTGGCAGCTATCACATCCCAAGTTCCGAGTCGCTCACCCAGTGGGAGCCGCCTTTGCATCGGTACCCTCCTGTCTGCTTGACCCACTCGTAACCAGCAGAGCATAGTCCCATCTGTTTCAGCTTCTTCTGCGCCCTCTGCTCCTTCTCTTCCTCTAATTCCTTCGCCCTTCGCGTCTCAAGCTCCGCTTCCTTCTGTTTACGCGTGCTGTCTGCTGCGAACCGCGTGATGCACTGCTCCTCGACCTCGGGATTGTACTCCTGGAGTAGTGGCGAGGACTCTTCTTGCTGGGTAGCAGCTTTCGACGTCTGCGAAGCAATGCGCGCTTTGTGTGCAGCGAAGAGCGCAGTCGTCATTGAAGAGTCGAGATTTTGCATGGGGAGCGTGTCCTTGGGCATGAACGCCGACGGTAGCTGAGGGGCTCGTATACCACGCTCGTGCAGCATGGCCGCTATGCAACGGGCAGCATCTGCGCTGGGCAGCGGGAGCTTGGACCCAATGGACTCGTTGGCATCGCCAGTAGCCATTGGAAGGCCGAAGTTTTGTATGGGGGGCGTGTCCTTGGCCATGAACAATGACGGAGGTTTCGGGGCTCGTCCACTACGCTCGCGGAACATGGAGACTATGCAACGAACAGCGTCTACACTGGGCAATGGGAGCTTGGACCCATTGGACCCTTGGGCATCGCCAGTAGCGCACTTGAATGCCAGACGCACCATCCGCTGCGCGAGTGTTTTCATATCCCGCGCATTGCCCCATGAGCCCAGCGAAGAAAGCTGCCCGATTAGCGACACCATGTGCCTGTACTCGCCCGAGCTTGTCGCCTCGAGCGCCGCGCATTCGATATCGTCCTTCGCGAGATCTTTCCTCAGTATCTCTAGACAGTGCTCCGGTGACATATTCTCGAAGTATATCTCCTCGGGGAACCGACTTGCAAGCCCAGGGTTGGCTGCCAGAAGCGTGTTCATCTCCTTGTCGTATCCAGCGATAATGACGACGAGCTTCCCGACGAAGGCCTCCTTAGTGAGCAGCCCCATCAGCTCGTCCACAGCCTCCTTCGCATACGCGCCCTCACTGAGACGGTACGCCTCGTCGATGAACAGGACCTTGCCAAGCGCGCGCTCGAAGACCTGCCTCGTCTTCGGCCCTGTCTGTCCCACGTACTGTCCCACAAGTTCGGAGGCAGAGCACTCGACGACTTCTGTGGATGAGAGGAAGCCCATGTCGTAATACACCTGGCCCATCCTGCGCGCCGTGGTCGTCTTGCCGGTACCTACTTCATGTTAGTATCGTAACTCTGGCTTAGATACGGAGATGCTCACCAGGGGGTCCCTTGAACACGAAGTTAGTAGGAATGAGATGCCGTGCCTTCCGTGCCTCCCGTCCGCGCTGCTTTGTAACGCGTGCGATGTTCTGATACTCTTGCAGTTTCTCCACGACCTTCTCGCATCCGACCATATCCTCGAAGAGTTTCCTCAGGTTCGTGTCCGAGCTTTCCGCGCGGTCGAAGTCAGGATCGAAATCGAAAGGCTCGAAAACAACGTCGAACGATCGCTCAGAGGCGGGAAGCTTCGATTGGCGCGACTGATAGTTGTTCTTCGCTTTGCCGAGCATGTTCTCAACTTCCCCACCATTCCCAAAGTGCGGTCGGTCGCGGGCCCGGCTAAGCATATCGAGCGCCACTCTCTTCGCCTCAGGCGTCGCATCGAGATCTTGATCCTTGAGCTTCAGGTTCAGGATCTCGAGAAGTTCGGAGTCGGTGAAGTCATTGAATCGCGATGCGTCCTCGATAGCAAATCGGCGCGAAAGACCTGGATTGACGTTCTGCGAAGCGTTCAATACTAGCATATCTCGAAAAAGTATTGCGACAACCGCGACATTACCTGGAACATTTCCCGCATCCGCTCCTCGTAGCCGCACATGAGAACACATCGATCTTCGCCCGGAGTACTTTGGACATCGGCGACGATAGTGTCAATGACGGCTGTCCTGTATGGATCGCTCTGCTTCCCGCGGCCGGCGCCCCCACTTCCATACAACGAATATGCCTACAAAAGAGTGTCAGCGATGACGGGCCCACCCATGAAGCGATGTATATGATACCTCGTCGATGACCAGGACCTTGCCAGCCGTAGCCGCCAGAATAGACTTGGTGTTCCGTTCCGATTCTCCGACAGCACCCCCGACGAAGTCGGCGGGATTCTTGAGCACGACTACGAGACGTCAGAACTCAAATGGACCGATTAAGCTGCTCCGAATCTCACCTTCGCCGTTACTCAACAGTCCAAGGTCCGCCAAGATCTGCCCATACAGCTTCGCAACCAACGTCTTGCCCGTCCCGGGGTTGCCAAGAAATACACGGTTGAGCGACATCTGGATCGGCTGCTTCTCCGCCAGCTCGCGCTTATAGTTCTCAGCGATCAGGTCGAACAGATTCTTGATGGACTGCTTGACCTCGGCAAGGCCGACCAGTTCGTGCAGCTTCTTCCATGCGACGCTCTCCAGGACCGCCTTCGAAGGGTCAGGACCAATGATGTCCTCCTTCGTCAGGACGAAGTCATCCGAGCCCACTCCTTTCTTGCGCTCCTCTGTCAGACGCATCGCCTGCCGCTCGGAGATGGTTGCGAACAGGGTCTGAAGCGCTCTGGCGTTGCCAAAGCCATCTTTCCCTCGTCCGCGGCCCAGACGCCTGACCACGACGCGCATGTACAACCCGAACATGTCGCCCTCGACCTTCATCTTCCCCTTGTACTTCTTCAAGATGAGCTTCTCGAGTATGTGCAGGAGCTCGAGATCGTTGTAGTCGCTGAACTGTAGCGAGTATCGTACACGGCTGGCCAGCCCCGGGCTGTACTCGAGAAATTTCTCCATCTGTCTGCTGTAGCCCGCAAAGATGAAGACTATCTTGTTAGCTGTCTTCTCCATCTCGCCGAGGAGGAAGTCGAGGACTTGTTTGCCGCCGGAGCTGTGTTCATTGGTGAGTTGGTATGCTTCGTCGATGAACATTGCGCCACCGCCCTCCTCACGCATGTCTTCGATCTGCTCCTTGATATTAAGAATGTAGCTATTGGCCAGACGGGACCCGGTGGTCTCTATGAAGCTATCGCTGGGAATAATTTTGAGCTTGGCGAGGAAGCCCGCATAGTGCCGTGCAACGGTTGTTTTGCCTGCGCGGAAATTGACTCGTGTCCTGAAGCCAACAAACACATAACGTACCAGTACCCGGATTACCCCTCATGACGATGTTAAATTGTTCGTCCGTAAGCGACGCGTCCTGTCGTTGAATGGTATCGATTTTAGCTTTGATCCGCAGTACTTGGGCCTTGACTTCCTCGAGGCCAGTCATCTCCATGATAGCGTCGATACCGGAGTCTTCCGCGCCTTCCACGTCCTTCTGAGGCTGCCCCTCCTGCTCAGCTTTGGAAGGCTGCAGAGGAGAAGTATCATCGGTCGTCCACGATAGTGGCGTCGCAGGCCGACTTGGAGATCCAGCAGACCGACTTGGAGATCTAGCAGACCGAATTGGAGATCTAGCAGACCGACTTAAAGATCTAGCAGGCCGACTTGGAGATCTAGCAGACCGACTTGGAGATCTAGCAGGCCGACTTGAAGGAGTGGAGGAAAGAGACCGAAGTACACGAGCTGGCAAGTCGGCAGCAGCAAAAGGGGGGGAGGCATGTGTAGAGTCCTCATCGACTGTGTTCGGTAGCGACGTGGATGACGGTTCGGGCGACGGCGACGGGGGGGAAGAAGTCTGAGTCTGAGCACCCCGGACGGTGGCCGTGAGCGCTGCAGTATTCGCGCGCTCGTCAGCGCGCTTCTCCTCCCACGTAAGCGTTCTCGGCTCATCATTACGCTGCTCAGGTTCACGCTGCCCTCCATTTTGTTCCTGCTGCCCCTCAGAATCTTCCTGTGCCTTCTTGTCCACGAATTCAACGCTCATGTAATCAGGAGGTTGTGGATACGTGTATGTGCTCTGGTGGTCATCTGAATCTGTAAAGCTCGTGACGGCCTCGCAAGTCGTCTTTGTACGGTCGTAACACTGGTGGCATTTCAATGGGCGGTGGTGGATGGGGGCTACGGGAGAGCAAGACGCAAAAACTCCAAGTTTCCCGTGGCGTGTTGGGTCGAAAAGTGTTAAGGCCTCCCGAGCGTTGCTGGAGTATTCGATCAAACTCTCAGTCTCACCAGTGAGGCAGTAATGGGTGTGTAGTGCTCTCGCAAGCGACAGCACGGAGACGTAACGATCCGCGTGCCCGGGAGGACGAAGGGAAAGCGCCATGCGGTGGTGAGATAAAGCTTCTCGCACGTCGGCCAGCTGACCAGCAAGTTCGAATCGACGGAGGAGTGACTCGGCCAGGGCGTGCAGTAGTTCAGCGTCGGGCTCCTCTGACGGAGAGGAGATGGAGATAGCCTCGCGCGCAGCACAGATGGCGTCCTCGAGGTCTTGTGGATCATGCCTAGTGGCCGACCGTGATAGCAGCTTGGACGAAAGTGTCGTCAGGTGCGCCACTCGATCTGCCCCAACGGTGGTCTCATGGGAAAGTATTTCGCGCGTCATGCTGATGGTCGAGTCGTCGTCCTCGCTAAAAGATGGATTTTGAAGGCGTTCCGACGACATGATTGCTTGACGAATGACGTCTGTTGCACCTGGTGATTCTGGTCTACACGTCGAGTCAACCATGGCACTAATGAATGACGACTTGGACGTTCTGGAGTTTATACTCTGGGCTAACTGTCTAAGCAACGATGAGCCGTCAAATACCCCTCAACGGTCTTTATATGCCGACGCACTGGGTAGATTCTCAGTCGATGACACCGCAGATTCCGAGTTCAAGTTTCCTGGCCAATGCTGCACTCAAATACCCATGAGACGGTCGCAACTAGACACATAATAAGTTTACGAACGAAGCTATATGTTGTTGGAAGTGACGACGCGGATTTGCGACAGCTTGAGTCCTGTCAGGGCAGTCAACAAAGACGTTCTATTCGCCAGAAATACGCTGGATGTGCGAGGGAATGCACTGAATGATGACGGGTCCGGGGAGACTTACTTTGTTGTCTGTGTGGAGTCTTAAGTACGATATATGGAAGTAAGCGAAGGAAGTAGCCGAGGATGTCAGGAGCAGGCTGTGTGCTGAGGATGCTGTGAACAGGCTGTGTGCTACCGACTCTTTTCCTACTTTTTATCGTGTACAATTGTCACACAGCCACGCGAGTTTCTGCACTCACATACAAAGCCTTGTTATTATGGGCGGACTGCAACGAGGCGACTACGGTCTGCTCGCTGTCTCCGAATCTAGCGCCTCAGGCGACTAAGTTCTTCTTCGTGCGTCCACGAAACTTGAATAGGAAGATCCTCAGCAGGATCTGATAGATAGTTGCACTGCACGTACCGCCAGATAATGCGTCGTTACATCGTAGCCGACTCGCATTCGGCTCGTTCTTGCCAAAGCTAAAGGCGGCCCGGACCTCGCACGACATCGATTCACCGTGCTCGTCGGCCTTATCGACATGGCGCTGCTATTCGCGTACTTTGTTGTGCCTCGCCATACCTCCAACGTTGCTCAATCCGTCGCGATAGCCTACATCGGCCTCGGTGTATAGCTTGGAATTCGCGAAGGTTCGATGTCGCAGAGCTGCTTCCGGATGCTGTGAGCAGGCAGTAGTGGATGAATCTTACATTACCGCCCACTTCGCTGGGTGGCAGAGCCATGCATTGACCTGCGTGCGTTTTTTTGGCACTCTCCAAGTGGACCTTCATCTCCGGCGAGGCGCTCCGTGAAGGGCGCCGTAAACCTAGCCAATTGAAGCTCCGTGAAGGGCGGGGCGGGTTGCATATGCGACCCGCCTCTACTCGATGATCTACCAGAAGCCCGGACGGGAACGAAGGCGATATCCTCTACTCTCTCTCTCTTTTTTTGCACTCGAGGGGTTGGCGTGTTCGCCGTTGCTTATTCCTCCGTTGCTGGGAGTGACTCAGCACTCAGCGCTCGCGCTCAACATTAATTGGCCTGGTGCTCGTGCTGTCACCCGTTCTGCATACATTGATTGAGTTTCTACTGCCACATTCCCCATGTAACGCAACACAGCAACTCTGTGTTCAAGTTTCCTACCCCAGCAAATTTCCTCATAGAGTCAACATTTGCACATCGCCACGACATCGCCAGCTTTTTGTCGATATGTCTTCGGTTCGGCTGTCCGCGTGTCAAGTGATGGAGACTACAAAGCGGCGCCACGAAGCTGTTTGGCTGTGTTTGGATAATTGATGTGTCATCACGCTACGATCTCTTGTAGTTTCATTCAGCCATCGCCACGAGAATACTTAGCTCCTAATATCCTTCAAGGCCTCGTGTTATGACTGTATGCATGCGGTTGAAGGAGATAGACTTGGACCAGTGTGCGGACACAGCCCGCGTAGGCACGCTCAGCAACGTGTCCGCAAAGCCACCGTCGCGCACACGTTGCACGGCGTGCACATCGACATCGGCGGTCCCAGCACCTCTAGAGGTGACAAAATTACGTTCATGTACTCTGGCTCCCCTCTATCCCCGAGATGCGGCATAAATCGGCTGCTGGCATCCAACGTTCACAGGCCGGCTGTTGTGGAATAGCGCGCGAGGAACCACTAGGTCCGACGAGAAGTGCAGAGTTGGCATATCGTTGGCGGCTCTAATTCGTCACTGCGGCAGTTCTCATAACAGATTCGCGCTCGTTATATCTCCTTCACCTCACTAACAATCTCTCAGTGTTCAACGCCATATATCAGAGTGTAACGTTTGGAACGCATCTAGATCTACGGTGAGGGGGGAATGTAACTTGCCCCGCCCATTGCGGAGCTTCGGTAAGCTAGGTGTTCAGCCACCCTCGCGGAGCGCCGCGTCAGAGATGAAGAAACGTGCGCACATCAGAATATTGCCCTGCCAGGGCCCAGCGAAGTTGGGAGCTTTTGCACGTTCCAAGCTGCATATCTAGACCATTATGGGCTATTGCAACGGCTGCGGCTATGCGCGGAGGGGGGGGGATGAAAAGGTACAATAACGCACACGAGAAGCAACGCAATGTCGACAAGGCCGACAAGCACGGCGAACCAATGTCGCGTAAGGCCTGGGTCATCTCCGGCTTTGGAAAGAGCTAGCTGAACACATCCGGTCCACAACGTGACAACGCTTTGTCTTGGAGTGCGTACATTGCATCTATCCATCAGATCTTGTTAAGGGTCTTATTCAGGCTCCGCGGGCGCTGCTTCTTGCACGCATGCGACGCTAAATGAGGCGAGTATACCGTAGTCCCAATGCAGTCTCCCAATGATAATGAGGTCTCGTATGCGAGTACAGGAACTCTGAGACGTGAGAGCCTACTCATGGTATGCAACATCCTTAAACTGGACTCAGAGGATACAATTTGCATGCTGTGGCGATCCACATAAGCAGCATGTCCGATCGGAGAATAAATGCTAGAAAACCTAACGGGTTCGCGAGACAGCACAGCGTGTTCGCGAAGACCCAGGCTCATTCAGGCCGTCTCCTTTGGCGAGGCGGTTCACACGCAGCTGTCGAAGCATGGAAATACGTGTAGCTTCCCACCTCGTGGTTACGTATCGCTTTCTGATATCCCTTGCCAACGCTCACGTCTCCTAGCCCTCACATTTGCAGTGCAATAGCTGTAACTACCACCCTGCTGTACGGACAAGGCCGCTCCACCGTGATATCAATATTAGGTTTGTTTAATATAACTCTTCTAACTCATGAGAAAGGTATTCCGGCACATTCCCAAGTACGCTTGACGAGTATCAGACCCTACACTGCCCTTGAACATCAATTTACACGCCAAGTCGCACAGCCGCGATGTAGCTCCCAGGTAGCTCTGCACACTATATGTACGGGTGCGGCATGAACGAGCAAAGGTGTCGTCTTTCATAACCTTACTGTGCGCTGTCCTTTCCCGCTGACACCATGCTCGGATGGTTCCAAAAGTCAGAGGCTTCTCGCAAGTATGTTGACTTGATTAGGGAGGCGTCATCCAAGTGGGCCAACTGGGACCCGCCCAAAACTATACAGGTAATCAACGGCGTTACTTGATGCTACCTGCGGAGGTTAATCTTATTCGAAACAGGCTGGTGATTTCGGCACCATCGACAAGAAGTCCGGACAGTTCGAACGGGCTGGCAATATCTACAGGCACTCCAAGATGGCTGAGATGGCGGAGAACTACCCTGTGACTGTTCAGCCCTCCGAGGAGCTCTACAGTGTCCACTCATTTCACGCAAGGCAAGTGGCTGCCAGAGCCGACGCAAATTCGTATGCACATTATGGCTGCCTGTTCGTCGTTTCTTGCTGATGATGTTCGCAGGGGAGCCTCGAGCAACGCGAATGTCACGTTTTCCGCGGAAATCAAGTTCGAAAACCATCGGGGCGCATCTCTGGTCATGCACAATCTGCGTATGAGCATAGTGCCGGACGAGTTCTTCCAAGAGGCGTTAGCCAGCGGATCTGTCAGCAGCTTCTTTCGGAAGGGGAATTTCTAGCTTGTCAAGGAAGTGTTCATCTGCGATGGCTATTTTCTGTACCTGTCGAGCAAAAGTGAGCGTTTACTGATAATTGTCAAGGCAAGCCTCTAACGTATAGCCTTTGCAGAGACAGAGTCCATCCGTGTAATCCTGAGTGCCGACACTCCTGCCCAAGTGGGAGCCTCTGCGCACATCGCTTGGGTAACCAAAGGCAGTTCAGGAATGTCCCGTAGAGGCTACCAGGAAGGCTCTGACGCATTTACACTGCTGTACCACTTGAAGGCCATCCAGCCACCGCCTATTAAACGCCGCACGAGCCCAGATCCCAATGCAGTCGAAGGCAATCGGCAAGTAACTCATCCAGTTGCAATTGCGAGATGTCTGACGTTTGGTGAATTCTAGCTGGGATGATGTGGACGTTCCGTGGGATGCCCTCGACTCTGACGGAGAGGAAGAGCCAGAAGATGAATTCTCCGTATGTCGAAATGTTGCTCATTGTATTTGCAGAACGACTTTGACACGTGCCTTCCCAGGACGAAGAGTGATGCTTTGACGTGCCGCCTCCACTCATACGCACATGACTTGACTTGTCCCTACTGCTTTGTCATTGCTTGTTTCAATTCTTGTAATGCGAATGCCGAAAAGGTGAAACTGTCATGAGTTAAAGGTACTGATCCCTCGATTTTCTCGCTGTACGCGAGGGTCACTGCCCTTTGCCCCAGGACAATCTGCGGTGGCAGTTTCTGCCTCAGCCGATAAGCTTATTGGTACGAAATGAGATATATCAGGCTATGCATGGTGTCATGAATATTACACAATCTGGATGGTTCTCCTGGATTCCATGGTATTCTTTCACTTTCTATACACCTCCGTATATTTGTAGGATATTCTAGGTATTCAGTCTGACATGTATATAAGGAGCCTGTACTGCTCAATAACAAGCCAGACTCGAGCTGGTCTTTCCTCACTCACATTCCTCTCGCCTGTCTCCTCAGCTTTGTCGTAGCTCAGTCCAGTTGGATTGTTAGTTGCTGACATTAGCTCGAGTCTCCACCAACTGCCCTACGACGATCCTCGTCACTCTCACACCAACCATCACACATCTTCACACGACAATCCACCCTATACACACATCCGACTCTCACCCTAGCTCCTAACCCTACCGAATTCTATCGCATCAAGACCCGGACCCCTGGAACCTTTCTCCGTGCACTTGCGCGTCTTTTACCACATCACACACCCCAAAGCCACCTCTGTAATCACCAGCCCTTAGGCGGCTGGACAGAGCTCCGTCCAATTAGAATCGTACACCGCCCTACCATAGGTGGTGTTAAACGCTTTGCGCAGTGCAAGCGGATATTCCTGAGTACGACGTGGCAACCGGCTGAGGCTGGGCGTCGGAAAAGAGATAGCAGTTAGATCGACGATCCCTGTCAGGGTGTCGGACCGAAGAGACATAATCGCTCTTTGGGCTGCTATACTATTCCTAGAACTGTATTAAGAATAGTGTTTCGATTCTTTTTTTCGAAAAAATCCTATCTTTGGCGAACTCTACCCCTGATCTGGTCGTTACAACACGATTAGTCCCAGGGATTGCTGCAACCGGCTCCACGGACCCGACACCCTATGACCACGCCGTCCTGCTATTGTAGAGGACATACACATCGAGAGCTAGAAGGGAGATCCGTCTACCTACGCGGTAACGACTTACGGTACTGCGCGCAACAACCTTGCCCGCACTTTCTGGATAATAGTAATCATTGCCCTCGGTGTAGAGAAGGACTACGCGGAGAGCCACTATCGAGAGTTAGCACAGGAACACCCTCAGAATCTATCGTGGTACCACAACCCACAGCATCCGGTTCAGAACCCAGAACCAGAAGAGATACTCTCGAATCAGTCACTGATCATCTCCGTTCAATCACTCTCGGAGAATCCGAAGCACCACCAGAAGGCCTTCCAGACCTCGTGGAAGAAACAGTAGAAGATTCCGAAGCTTCGAACCCACCTTCCCGACGCTCTCCCACCCCACCTTCATCCCCATCTGACCCCGGCGCAATGGCCGAGAACCAAGACAATGCCGCGCTCATAAATGGTAGCGCGATGAAGCCCGATGCCTTCGATGGCACGAAGTCCAAGTATATCGCTTGGAAGACACAGATGAAGCTCTATGTAGTAACGCAAAGGAAGCGACTGCCTGAGCAATTCGACAGGGTCTTAATGATCTTGTCCTACATGAAAGGAGGTCATGCTGGCGAATATGTCGCCACATACATGAAAAAATACGACACCGATGAAGACACGGTGATCCAGACCACGACGGAACTATGGGCGGATCTGGATGTACATTTTCTAATCGACGAGCAGGCCGAAGCCTACGACCGTTTGCAAGCAATGCAGATGGGGACGCTATCGGCGCAAGAGTTCTTTTCGAAGTTCGAATTGTGCGCTTTCCAGGCGAATATTCACGACTTCGAAGCGCATTTCCAGAAACTCAAATCGCTTCTAGAAAAAGCACTCCGGGCCGACATCATTCGGCTTCTGTACAACTCATCGGAAGAACTCCCCGCCACATATGCACTCTACAAGAAACGGGTCGCGCGTATCGACCTGAATCAGCAACAGTATCGCCGAAGAAACCCTCAGTCCCAACGACAGGGACAGTTTCAACCAAGGTCTCAGCAGGCGCAAAACCCACCGCGAGCGCAAATGAATGCACCCGCACCAGCAACTGCTACCGCGCCAGTTCAAACGCGGCGCGACGGAACAGGTGTCACATTCGGCGGAAGGGGACAACCGATGGATTTAGATCAAGCGTGGCGCCAGGGTCTTTGTTTCCGATGTGGTCAACAGGGTCACATATCACGAAATTGCCCTAATCGGCAACAAGCTCAACAAGTACGAGCCGCGGAAACCCCGGTAATTCCCACCACCAACACGTTCACACCCCTCGCATCACTGAACGAAGCCCCTGCCGCAACGGCAGAACCGTTCGACTGGAAGAAGGCAATCCACGAAGAAATTCGTGCGGCCATGAAGGGTTTTGCAAGCGGTCAGCCGGGCGCGTAGCCGAGTTGACCGAGCGTAATTTTACGAATTATCTATGTTCTTAGTTTGGAGTAGCAACGTATATACCAGAAAAAGGGGCGTCCGCAGAGCGGCGCGGAGAGGCACAACCCTCTTGCTTAATTCCCCCAAATAAAAAATTATTGCCTACACCAGAACATCAGACCGAATCTACGCAATGGCAACGCCATACACCTTGGACAGCGGCTTGGATCCGCCAATGGATAATCAGCAAAGAAGCCTCGGCGCTTAGATTGCTGACCGAATGGGTACACTCAAAAAAGAGTGTCGATGCCTCCGAAGCCTGTATGAACCAAATCAGGCAGATGAAAGAAAAAGAAGCCATAGACTTCTTAAATGAATTGAGAAAGCAACCCCGGTTTATCCGAGGAAGGAAGGGGACACAGATGGATGTCCCGATGATCATAACCACCCTGGACACGCAGCAGCGCTTATCAGTCAAAGCGCTATTAGACACAGGATGTACTGGATCTTCAATTGATGCGCAGTTTGTCCGCGATAACAACATCGCTACAAAGAAACTGCCATCACCGGTCCCTGTCTATAATGCAGATGGCACGCATAACGCCGGTGGCGCTATCACAGACTTCGTTGAATTAAGGGTGGAAATTCAGAACCATGTAGAACGACTTCCTTTCGCAGTTACCAATCTAGGGAAGACTCCAATCTTCCTTGGATATGATTGGTTACAATTTATAACCCATCTATCGATTGGCAGAGCAATCATTCAGTTTGATCGGTG